GCTCAGGACAACAATAGCTTTCGAATGATATAAAACAATTGCGTCAAAAATGGCGCAATTTGTCTGAAGAATAAACAACCCACCCCGAGCACAAATATTCCGTTACTTTCGTATCGAAAGTCGGAACAAAAACTAAAACAGACACGAAAAAAAGTTCCTCCCCAATTTCATTAGTCGGAACAACATTAAATGAGTTGGTTGTTCAGAAAAACCAATAGAAAAAGAACAAGACTGCTCGTATCAGGGCGAAGCCCTGAAAGTTTCGACTGCCTTTTAAGGTCTATAGAGCATTAATAAGATGAAAATTTCAAAGCAATAAAAAAAAATTTAAAAAAAATTTTAAAAAAAATTTGAGATTTTATGTAAAAACATCCCCCGCACGTCATATTAAGTACAAAGTGATAGATTTTGCGCCTATTAGCAAAGCAATTATGGCATATAAGCTTCCTTGAACCAATTTGGATCGATTTCTAAGACGGATTAAATATCGTTTACGCATTAATAGCGCGAAATATATCGCGCTTTAAATGTCCCAAATTAGCCAAAATAGCAATCTTTAAACCCCCATAGCCTTACGAAAAAAGATCACAGGTTAAATACCTTATCAAATTTAAGCTGAGGACAACAATACCTTTTGAATGGTATAACCAAAAATTCCGTCATGAAAATTGTTATGATAATTGGATCAGAGCGCAGCCAAGAATGTTACGAGTGCTTTGTAGGTCTATGAGGTAGTGTTCATTAAAAAAAATGACTCTAAATAAAACGAAACAATTTCGAAAAAATCACCCCATAACCCGCTATGTAAACTGCAAAGTAATATATTTCGTAAAAAGCAGAGTATTGAATGGCCCAAATCGCAATCTTCAATTTAACTTGAAACTATTTCACAGTATGATTAAATATTTGCTTGCGCATTAATAAAGCTAAATATATAGGCCGAAGTTTATAGCCCCAAACAGAGCAAATTGGCAATCTCTAAAACTCATAACTCTGCAAAAAAAATACCAAGGGTGAAACTTTTTTATAAAAAATTTGCGTCCTGGGTAACAAACCTTTTTGGAAGAAATAAAAAAATCCGTCAAAAATGACTAGTTAAAAAGTCGAAATTGCTCTGAAGAAAAAAAATTACTATGAGCACAAAGGTTCCGTAAATTTTTTTAAAAGTAGAAAAACAAGACTGTTGTATTAAGGCAAAGACCTGAATGTGTCAACTGCTTTTCAAAGTCAATGGATTAGTGTTTGCTACAAAAATTGGTGAATGTAAAAAAAGTGTTTGAGATAGTTTCTTGAAAACCATCCTTCTAGGCGCTATGTAAGCTACACAACGATATACTTCGCAAATGACAAAGCATCAAAAAGGACCAAACACAGTGCCTCAAAACGTCTTGGAACAGTTTCTAAAACCAGTTAAATCTGCACTTAGGTATTAATAGCACGAAATATATAGCACGCTAATAAATTGGTCAATTTCAAATCCCCTGAGACCTTATGAAAACTGATCACAAGTCAACAATCTTTAAAATTCAGCCATAGACAACAATATTTTAAGCATGACCAAAAACTCTTGGTTGAATATTGTCCGGAGAAAAAACCACCAGAAGCACATATTTCGTCACTTTCTTCAAAAAACAAAAAAAAACAGCTCGTATCAGGACAAACCAGGATGGTTTCGACTTTTCCAAGGTCAATGAAGTAGTGTCAGCTTAAGAATCGTGAAGACTTTCACGAAAAATAAAAAAAATTCTTATTTTTGTTTTTTGAAAACCATACCCCCACACATTTTGTATCAAACGAATTAATAGAAATGACTTGAATAGACCACATAGCATGCCGCAATTCAATTTGGAACTATTTCTAAGAAGGATTAAATACGCTTACGTGATAATTGCCCCAAATTGACCAAACTCGCAATCTTTAAACCCCCATAACTTAACGAAAAATCATCACAAGTGAAATATCTTTTCTAAATTAAGCTCAGAGCAACAAAACTTTTTGGATGATATAAAAAATTTCCGTTAAAAAGCCGAAACTTGCCTGGAGAAAAAACTACCCCGAGCTCAAATATCCCGCCACTTTCTTCGAAAGTCAAAACAAAAAAAATTATTGAAAAAGTTAAAAGATTGAGGAAATTTTTAGCCTTTTCAGTAGAAATTGACCAAAATAAACACGCGCAATGCACATCGAAACAATTAAGTCACCAAATGCGAGGAATTTGACAAATTTTAATCACAACCGTTCAACCGTAAACTGATCATGGCAAAGAGCAGACGTTGTCGAAAAATAAAATAAAAGAAAATTCGTAGTGGCAAATTATCTTAGCGGCAAATAGCTACCAGACGATTACGCTTCATTGGCTGGGCGACTTCAAGAGACTAGGTTTCCGTTATCTGTAGAAATAGATTTCAAGCAGTGTCTTGCTGTATTACCTAGCTCAATTTCTGCTCCGCCTAGCATTAAGGGCTGACAGGGTCCATTAGTTTGCTTGAACTTTTCATGATTGATTAGCAAGCAAGCCTTGGGGTATCTATTGTGTTATGATCTAAATCTTTTTCAACTGTAAGATTCCGAGAAATATACTAATTCAAAATTTCTCTCAGTGTAATTAAAGTCTGGCCTGAATTTGTTGTTGTTTTTTGGACAAAGTTATCGTTGGTAGTGAGGAAATTTTACTAAATACTAAAAGCCAAGGAAGCGAAGCTGCACTTCTCTTTTACATTTTCTCGTTTTTTAGAAGCGTTTAACACTACTAAGTGGTCATCAAATTCACGAAATAGAGAAATTCGAAGCGATAACAATGATAAAATCTAGGATGAGGACAAACAGCCTGGAGACGAGAGCAAAATAAAACAAGACTACCCCGTATTTTTACACATTTTGCATATAACGCAAGGTTTAAAACATTTATCCTGTCTCAAATCAATTTCAAGTAATTTCTAACGGGACTACTTCGCTACTCACCACGAAAAAAATCAATTTCAAAATAAAATGCGAGAAACAGAACCACTAGAATTAAACAAGCTTAGTATTTTTCGAGCGTTCACTATGAAAATTGATGCGAAGACAAAAAAAGCCAGAGGAAAATGTTTTCATGAAAAAATTTTGAAGTATTAAGTTGGTTGAATCGGTAACTTTTATGCAATAACCAACCTGATTTGTTCAAAACAATAAGAATCATTTTTATCCTTCACCCAGTGTAAAATAAGTTCAAAAACTGACAAAACATGAGTCGAAATCATTTAGGCCGAACTAAACTTCTAAGCGAAAAAAAAAACAAAAAAGAGGAAAAAATAGCAGTCGACGATAGTACATTTAAAAACCTTCAGGAGTTAATCCAAGACACTTGAGTCTACAACTAAAAACTAAGTCAACTAAACCAAAAATGTAGTGTGACAACTAAACCGACAACACATAAGCCGACAAACTATAGTCAGACTATTCAACTATTACGAAAAAAAAAAATTCAGACACTGAAAAAAAAACAGGTTCGACCGGGACTCGAAGCCAAGATTACAGGGTGCAAACGCAACCGTGTTACCTTCGTGCCAACAAAATGTCTTAAAATGCAAAGAATCTGTAATATAACAGCATCAAATTCAATAACAAAGGTGTAAGAAAATTTTTTTACGGTAAAAAAAGTCTAGTTCCCGATTACAACACACTTTGAAATAGCGGTTTGAAATGGTTAATTTCTTGTCTTAATTCGAGCGAAAAAAGCAAGCAAGCAAAAACTATGCCTAACTTAGGAACTTAAAACTCGATTTTGAGCAAGTATTTTGGAGTTTTCCATCTTCATTTTTGTCCAATATGTCAATATTACAATGATTGTCTAATATGCCCAAATTATTTTTTTACGTCAGATCCGTTTATCACACCAAGCAGAAAAAACTACACTAAATTGGAAAAAATCGCTCTAAACAGTAGTTTTTGGCGAATTCCGAAGACAATGGTCGGAACATTCTGTGCTACTTGACGTAACCGGCTATCCTCGTTTTATTGTGTTTTATGCTCTGCAAAAAACAATAAAAAGCGCGTTGAATACCTTAGTTCGGCTATTTTCGAACACCCATAAATTTTGCAAAAAAACAATCTGATTTGAAATATATTAATTATTTCGAGCACAGGACATCAATATTTTTCAGATGGTATGAAAAAAATTCGCCAAAAACCGTTTAAAAAATTTGAAATTTGTATCGAAAGAAAAAAATCACTCCCTTTACAACAATTAGCCCTTCATTTTTCTAAGTCCGAAATTAAAGCAATAAACGAGATAACGAAAAAAATTGATAGCTAAACAACCATTTACCTTAGTTTTTTCGGCAGCATTGGCTTCAATTATATCTCCAATTGAGTAACTAAATTAATGTAGACAACCTTTTTTGTAGTTTTCAGTTGGTTTAATGAAAACCAAGAGGAGTACTTTAAAATTGACTTAAGCTAAAACAATATTCAGACTATTGAAAGAAAAGGAACTTTTTCTTCAGGTGTTTTTAGATTTTTCTGATCTAACTTCGTTTTCGGGTGTGTTTCGGTTATTTTTTTTTACTTTTTCCCCATGCAAAAACAGGTATCAAAAAACTAGAAATGGTTGCTTGATATATCATATTAAAGCCCCTTTAGTCGTGGTTCAAAATGTTTTGAAAAAATTCCTAAACGTTTTCTCACTGTTGAGAAAAACCGATTTTAAATAAAAACTAGCTTACGAAGCTTCATTTAGCGCTTCCATGGCAAGAAAAAAAATTAAGACTTCAGATGTTTTCCCCTTTTGGTCTACTAATGCCAAATATACTTAAGTTCTGAGCTGTCGTCTAATTCTTCTTATCATGCCACGCGCAGAACACGACACAAACTTTACAAGAAAGCTTCTTTGAAAGAAGTTATGAGTATGGTCGGAGTTTTTTGTGCTAATTGCGCAACAACCGGCTACCCTTTTGTGCCTCTTTGTTTCCTTTCCGATGAATGTGAGCCCTTTGCTTATTTGTATGTTATCAAACTCTGACCTCGACTAGTTGTCTGGCAATGAACCACTTGTATTGAGTGATGATGCCGATGAACTGGTGCAGCAGGAACCCAATGAGTCCAGTTAGGAATCCAATCAGTCCCATCATGATCCACCTGTCCCAGTCTAGCCTAAACAGCACACCCATCACTGCTGATGACGTCATAAATGCCTCGTCTTTACTAAGTCGCCTCTGATAGGCTGGAATAAACTCGGCCTCGAATTCAGTGTTGAAGTTATTATCATTGGGGACGCAGTCATAGCCAGTGGAATGTCTACGTTTTGCTGTCATTTTTCAAGTGAATTCATTTGGTTAAATTTGAAAATTATAATACGGATGTATTTATAAACAAGATAATTCGGCAAATAGCAAAATAGTTTTGATGAACGTTCGCACAAAATGAACGTGCAGCAATACTTTGGACAATTGAAAAAAAAATTCCATTAAAGTGTAATAATTTTTGATCAAAAACAAAAGCGTAAGCTGTTAGCTATAAAATGAATAAATTAATCAGCAGAAGGTCATATAAGACTCCTATTAAGAAAAAAATAAAGCACATAGTTTCTTGAACGCTGAAATTTTGAAGAATTTATGGCACTGATATCAATAATCTATAATTTTATGGCATACCACCTCTATATTTTATTTCACCAGTCACGAGGTGGGGTATTGCATTGCTTGTATACGTTAGTAGATGTTTCAGGAAAACAAAACTATCGGTTTTTGGATTGAGCTCCATATATCTGTCAAAATGAAGGTATATCTATCATAAATTTGTCAATACTTACATCAATTTTCACATCTTTCCCACTATGTTTGGTGTTTTTCAGAAGAAAATCAACCGTGTGATCTTGATAACATTTTAAATTAGTTTACTTGATAAAACTAGAAAAAATTACTAGTCTTTAAATGTTCGAACCCAACAATTGAATATGAACGAACTTAGAACCAAGTAACACCTCCCCTTTTGTTAAACCCTCCCTCCTAATTATTGAAAACACCGATGAAAATATAAATAAACCTATATAAAAATTCATCTTAATTGGCAAAGGCTTGAAATTAATTGGATTTAATGCAGTATGACTATATGTAATCTAATTTTAAAATTCCGCTATTAAAAAGGTTCAAAGTTTGTTTTTAAGGTGAAAAAGTTTGTCTACCGTTAAAACTCAGGCCAGCTGTAAATACACTGAATCGTAATTATGTATCATGCAGGGTAATTTTGGCTTTTGTTGTTACAGCATTTGTACCAGCAGAAAATGGCAAATAATTTGCATGAGGGTCTTCGTTAGGGACAACAGCTGTACAGCAGTTTTCCTCGAACATATTTTGTGTTGGATCTCTCTTAGATGAAGCCTGTTAAGAAAGATTTCGTATCTTGCGGGTGTGGTATTTTGAGAAAAGATGACGTACCTTGAGGGTTGTCCCGACAGCCACTTTTTGTATGCCTGTGAGTGTGGGGGGAGGTAGTCGACTGCCTCGAACTGACCCAGGATCTCCCTCTCCTGCACTGTGTACTGGTGGTTGGTAGAGGTACTCTCCAGGTCTCTATTGCGCGCAAACAGCTGCTCTTCATCTACAAACATGTAAAAACTAATTGAATTAATAACAACATGACTGCTCGTATACCAAGGAAAGGTCCTGATTGTTCCGATTGATCTTTGGTCTCCAAAAAATGTTGGTAAAAAAGTTTAGGACTATCACTGGAGATCAATTTTGAGCTGCCAATACCAATTATTATGATAACTTCAAGTTTATCTAGACGATTTTCCCTAGTTTTGGGTCCGTTTTGGCGTTCTGATTCCGCAAAAATCTTTTTTTTTAAAAAAAGAATTTAATATTGCGTTCTACAGCTTAAAAGGTTTGTTCGCTAAAGAAATTCGATGGATTATATATTGTTATGTATAATTACATTAGACAATCAGATGGTAAATACTTGTTGCATTTCACAAATGTCATATTTTGTTTGTTCTTTCAGTTGCCTCTTCTCTTTGCGCTTTCAAAATAGTGTGATCTTCGCCTTATTCAATTAGGGAACATAACGCTGCTGACAATTATTAAATTGTTATTATTATTTAATTATTATTAAATATTTATTAAATAAAAAAAAAATTAAACTATAATTCAGAAGCGAAGCTGAGCTTCGCACCACTTGCAAAACGTAAAGCCAACAAATCGTGAAAAAAAATGAAAAAACGCCAAAAAACAACACCCAACACTTTTAAATGTTTTTCTCAAAATGAAACTTATTTTGATGAAAACTTGTGGCAGAACACAACAACCAGCCTTGAACTAGAATAAAAAGTTGCCGAGCGGTAACTATGCAGACAAAACCGGGGATAAATGGTCCTAAAATATACAAATAGAGGATTTTTAAAGACAGAAAATGTTGAAACTTTTTTAATTTTTTTTTGTCAAAAAATCGATGTCCCATTCAATTTAATCGATTTGTACGCAAAACTATCAGACATCACAAGGCATTACGCCAAAAAATTGCTCTCAGCTAAGTCCAAAAAAACTAAGACAAAAACTAAGACTGCCGTCCATTTTTTTTGTTGTCATCAAGTTTTGGTAGGTATGAAAACGAAACATCTCAATCACAATAACCTGTGTAAACTTCAATTGAAAATACAAATTCACCCCACAAAAGTAGAAAAAACATTAAGTGTACTGGAAGCAAACAGCGCAAACAATCCAAATTTGCTATTTTGAAAAACAGAAATCTCAAAATTACGAGCAAAATATGAATAAAAAAACAATTAACGGTAGTTTGAGATCTGATATCACTTAAGGCCTCCTAAAACCGAGTCTCTTGCTTAAAAATTATCGTTCTATAACTACCTTTGCTAATAACAAAATGATAAGAACAACAGGCCGATGTAGAAGTATCGAGGAAAATATCCGAACAAAGTTTTATTGAAAAAAGAAAAAAGTTCGATAAGCAATTCCAAACATAAACTCGACAAAAAATTTGAAAAATTTTTTATGATTTTTTCTAACCTTTTTCATTGAAGATCAGGGAAGTGATTTCAAAATCCCAAACATGTCAAATCAAAATTGAATTGAATTAAAAAGAACCTACTCCGAAAAAAAAAATTAGAAAAAACATCATGCAAGTAAGCCGACAAAATTAAAGCCGACACTCAATAAGCTGGAAACAGGCAAAATATTTTCAGTTAAAAAATCAAAAAAAGGATATGCATCTACGCGCTACATTGCAAGCACTAAACAGGCCAAACAAATACGCTGCATAAGCTGCATATTTGTAAGTTTGCCATTTCAAACTTCTTTAAATATTTATCATTCTATGACCAAAGTTATTTACGGGAAAAAAGTCTCGTACCCAGTTGCAAAACCCTTGCTTATCGCATAGGTACTTAGATTTGAGTCCTATGCAAAAACAAGGCTGCTCGTATCAGGGCGACACCCTGAATGTTCTGACAGTCCTTTAACGTCTATAGAGTAGTGTTCCATTTAAAGAAATGCAAGAAAATTCCAAAAAAAGTGGAAAAATTAAAATTAATCATCCCCCAGACGCCAGCTTAAGTAATATTTAGTCCTAGTTTAGCATAAAATACCTTATTAATTGAAAAAAATAGCATGCTTGAATTCAATTTGGAACGATTTCAATCGGAATAATAGTCGCTGACGCTTTATTAGCACAAGCTATATGGCGCATTAATTAACCCAAATTGGGCCAACTGGTCATTTTCAAGCCCTCGCAACTATGCGAAAAATTTTCACAGGTAAAAACATTTTTTCAAATTTGAGCTACTGGCATCAACAGTTTCAAATGACCTGAAAAAAACTAGTGAAGATGGCAAATCAGAAAAGCGGAATTTGTCTCGAGAAAAAACCCAGCACAAAAAATCTGTCACTTTATTGTGCTCACCTGATTTCAAATAGGAAACAATTTGTGTGTGGGAGAATAATTTGTGTTACGCTATCGTCATCATAGATAAGGTCTTCGAACTATTACATACACACTTTATAGAGGCTCAAAGAGCATTTTTGGTAGCTCGTAAATGGATGCCCAATAAATATTACAAGAAATGTAATTGCAACAAATATATAATGCTATTTCTTTTTAAATATTTTTTGCAATACTTATTTTTTTCTGCTTTGTCACTGCAATCAATTATAATTATTTCTCACATTTCGCAAACATAGGTTAGCTTGAAGGGGACAGGGAAATTGAGCTCAGTGAACACGTAGAGTCCAGGTCTGATATCGACTGTCCCATATTTTTTAAAAGAATTGCTGGTCTGGATAACAAAATCCTCCCACGCATATATTCTCTACTTTCTTTGAAAGTCGGAACAATTTAATGAGCAATTAACTTGATTTCATTTTGAAACAATTTTATGTGGTGGATAATAGTTTTTGTTACAATTTTATACATGAGTAATACTGAGTAATACATGTAGTCTCAAAGCGCATGCAAGATAAGGCTTAGCTTACCGTCTTGGGAACACGTAGATTCCAGGATTGATCCCGGCTCTACAGCTTTATTTCAAAAATTGGTCTGAATAAAAAAACACCCCTAACATTGATTTTGCTGGCTTTCTTCAAAACTCAGAACTAAAATAAACTGTTGTCAAGCTTGTGTATTGATTAAGATTCTCGCATAAATAATATTTACATTCAACGGAGCACTATCCTGTGCGATCATCATGAGACCTTCCGGTCAGTTGGATCTCTTTAACTATTTCCCCCTTTTGCAAAGGGGGAGGGGAGAGATTCGTTACTAAGTACAAAATTCTCATATGCTTAATCGTTGATTTATTTCTTTGAAGGGGGAGATTCGTTACTAGGTACCTAAGGGAGTAAATACACCTTTTCAAAGCCTTTTGAACAATTGGTAATTTGAAAAGAATTATAGGTAACTTCTATTGAAATAACATTTATTTCGTAAGTTCTAAAGAATAGAAAAACGATTTTATTCCAAATGGATAAGAACAGAATATAATTTAAAGAATCAACGGTTTTTATGCAACATTCATTGTTTATCCGTCTATTTTATTCCTGGCCAAACAATCCGGGATACATGTCATCGTATGATTGTACCAACCAACACATTTCTGTGGAGTAATCTCACAACTTGTTCGTTCCACAATAGATTTGACATGACGGAAACGGTAATCCTGAAGTGTTTGTCCTGGCTCCTTCAAGGCATCAGCGTTGATGAACAAATCCATCTCTTGGCCATTCTGAGCTTTTTTATACTTGGCCATTCTGAGCGTGATTCAATTGAAATTTCACGATTTGAAAAAAACTTATGAACACACATTTGAGCATGCATTATTTCTTGACTTTCAATTGAAAATACGGTTTGTTCAAAGGATGTCACTAACATTTCAATAGGCCTTGAAATGGTGTAGTTAAAGAGATCCGGTCAGTTTTTACTCAACTTAAGATTAGGTTTGAAAACAGATCAGAACGTTTGGCACTAACAAGTGGAGCTCGTATGTAGTTTATGAGAGTCATGGGTTTTAAAAATTTAGCAGATTTTTTTATTATGGGCTATTTCATTCTTAGCAGCGAAATCTAGGCTTGACCATAAATGGAACGTATTTTCCGCGCCACGTGGAGTTTTTGGCTAAAATAGCTTCGTTGTGTATACTCGGGAAAATCCTAGCCCAAGACTTTTCACCAAACTTGAAGCAAGATTTGAGCGGTTTGAGCGGTTTTTTAGGCAATTGCGCTCAAAATCTTGCTTCATAATAAGCGGTTTCAGCGGTTTTTCGCCCAAACTGCTCGAGTCTTGCGCAAACCGCTCAAACAAAACGCCCAAACCGCTCAAATCTTGCTGGAAAACCGCTCAAACCGTTCAATTTTTGAGCGGGATCTCGACCCGGGAAATCATTCCCTGGTTGAACGCATGTTGATCTGAACACGGTGGTGTACGGCAAATAAGACGAAAGACGACAACCTTTTTTGATGGGACTTTAAGACGAAGGCTTGCTTAAATTTGAACAGTTCATTTTAAATCTTTTAATGAGTATTTGTCTTCTTAATGTTATGTCATCTTAATGCATGTCGTCTTCTTTACCTCGCACCGAGCACGCTATGCGCAATTTTTTTTCTCAGACTTAGTTTTTGTCAGTTTCCTCATCCGAAAAAATTACGTGGTATTTTTTATTTAACGCTCGGAAACCGGCAACTTTTCGGCTATATATTTTCGTACTTTTTCGATAACTAATTTTTCAATTTACATTGCGCCTAAAAGAAACCCTTCCAAACAATTTTTATAAAACTTTTGTCATCTGTTTCTACATTCTTGTCCATGTATCAAGAACGATAAATGCGTCGAATGATTGGGTTCATGTTTGGGTTAAGAACCAAACATTTCCTAATTTCCACGTCTTTCAAGATCATGTTATTTAACCCAGCTTGACTTGACCTGCCTTGAGAATGTTGAAATCACAAATTTGAAGAAAAAAAATTAGTTCAAATAAAAACATGTCAATTTCAGTAATTTAGTATAAAATAAACACTTCAATGGCACTTTAAATTATCAACACAATAACAAGTTACGATAGGATTTGAGCCAATCCATTAGGGATTATGTCAGCA